ACTTCTACTGTTGAACTGGATGACTCCTTTGATGAGACCAGCATGCGTTTTGTGCGGCGAATTCAGGAGTCTGAGGTCAAGAAGACTTTAAAAAGAATGAAAGGGGGCAAGGCGATGGGCCCTGATTGTATCCCCATTGAGGTGTGGAAAAGCCTCGGGGACATAGCGATAGTATGGCTAACAAAGCTTTTCAACCTTATTTTTCAGGTAAACAAGATGCCAGAAGAATGGAGACGGATTATATTAGTACCAATCTTCAAGAACAAAGGGGATGTTCAGAGTTGTACTAATTACCGTGGAATTAAGCTGATGAGCCATACAATGAAGCTATGGGAGAGAGTCATTGAGCACCGCTTAAGAAGAATGACAGGCGTGACCAAAAATTAGTTTGGTTTCATGTCTGGGAGGTTGACCATGGAAGCCATTTTCTTGATACGACAACTTATGGAAAGATATAGGGAGCAAAAGAAGGACTTGCACATGGTGTTCATTGACTTGAAGAAGGCCTATGATAATATACCGCGGAATGTCATGTGGTGGGCCTTGGAGAAACACAAAGTCCCAGCAAAGTACATTACCCTCATCAAGGACATGTACTATAATGTTGTGACAAGTGTCCGAACAAGTGATGTCGACACTGATGACTTCCCGTTTAAGATAGGACTGCATCAATGTCAGCTTTGAGCCCTTATCCTTTTTCCTTGGTGATGGATGAGGTCACAAGGGATATATGAGGAGATATCCCATGGTGTATGCTCTTTGCGGATGATGTGGTGCTAGTTGACGATAGTCAGACGGGGGTAAATAGAAAGTTCGAGTTATGGAGACAAACCTTGGAATCGAAAGTGTTTAGGCTTAGTAGAACTAAAACCGAGTACATGATGTGCGGTTTCAATACTACTAGGTGTGAGGAGGAGAAGGTTAGCCTTTATGGGCAGGTGGTACCTTAGAAGGACACCTTTCGATATTTGCGGTCAGTGTTGCAGGAGGATGGGGGTATTAACGAAGATGTGAACCATCGACTCAAAGCCGGATGGATGAAGTGGCGCCAAGCTTCTGGCATTCTCTGTGACAAGAGAGTGCCACAAAAGCTAAAAGGCAAGTTCTACAGGACGACTGTTCGACCCACAATGTTGTATGGCGCTGAGTGTTGGCCGACTAAAAGGCGACATGTTCAACAGTTAGGTGTGGCGGAGTTGCGTATGTTGAAATGGATGTGTGGCCACATGAGGAAGGATAGAGTCCGGAATGATGATATACGAGATAGTTGGGGTAGCAGCAATTGAAGAGAAGCTTGTCCAACATCATCTGAGATGGTTTGGGCATATTCAGCAGAGGCCTCCAGAAGCTCCAGTGCATAGTGGATGGCTAAAGCGTGCGGAGAATGTCAAGAGAGGTTGGGATACACCGAATTTGACATGGGGGGAGTCCGTTAAGAGATACCTGAAGGATTGGAGTATCACCAAAGAACTAGCTATGGATAGGGGTGCGTGAAGGCTTACTATCCAAGTGCTAGAGCCATGAGTTGGTCGCGAGATCTTATGGGTTTCACCTCTAACCTACCCCAACTTGTTTGGGACTAAAGGCTTTGTTGTTGTTGTTGTTGTTGTTGTTGTTGTTGTTGTTGTTGTTGTTGTATATAGGACAAATTTTTCCTACTACCGAGTGTAGTTACTCCCATTTTTATTTCATGCGTATTATGTACTCCCTTCGTTTCAAAATAAGTAACTCGACTTTGAGTCACTTATTTTGGGACAGAGGGAGTAGTATATAAGAATGTTTAGATAGTATATATTCTACTTTTTTATAGTATGTATCATATTTTGTGCATACTTCATTTCACGTATAAATATGTACGTATTTCATAAATACAATAAAACTATGAGCTCACTTGTAATTTTTTCATATAACTCGCTTTGAAGTATCTTAGATATAGTATATGAACATACTAAAAATAATAAAGTATAGTATATACTACCATATGGTAGTATATGAGAAATGAGTGTAACTACACCCGGTAGTAGGATTCATATTTCTATGGTGAAACATGGTAGCAGTACATGAATATTTATGAATTATCATATATGTATGAATCTTACAAATGCTGTCTACAAATAATCACCATGATTGCATACCCTCCTTAAGCCTAGGCTTGGTTTTCTTGATTACCATAGCAAAATGTTCCCCGAAGCTAGTGATACCGTATTCTAGATTTCTTTGCTTGTGGTCAAATTTGTACTACTTTTGTGCTTCCATATGCTCCAACATTCAGTGATCAGACACTCTTTGAAACATGGAATTGGCATTCTATTTCCTAAATGGTAAGTGTTACACCTGTGACAGGAAGCACTTCAAGCCCGGCGCCGCGGGCGCGAGGAGGGCAGCGTCACCGTCCTCGACAGCGACGAGGAAGACGAGGCTGGCCTGTCCAGCGCGCCACCATGCCTCGGCGACCTTGGCCAGGGCTGCAGCAGGGACGGTGCCGGCCCAAGCCACCCACGCGACGACGACGACGATGATGACGGCGACGGCGGTGACTACACCCGCTTCTACAGACTTCTCGGCATGTAGACGACTACGGCGGTGGCGGCTAGGCGTAGTTCAGGCGTAGTTTGCATGTTTTGATGTTTTCTGTTCAAGTTTCAACGAAGTTTCGCCGAGTTCGTGCAAAAGTCGCCGAGTTTGCACATATTTTCGTACGCGACATCGCTAAACCGGGGCGACCTGTGGACCACGACTGGGAGCAAGGTCGCTCCTACGCGTCAATCTAGCACCGGCTCGCCTCCAGGAGGCTCTTTTTCGGCGTCATGGGAGGCCGAACGGCTGGAGATGCTCTTACAGTACTTCACTTTACACGCATGAAAACCCTACTGGTTAAAAGGCAGCCATTGCTCTAGAACACAACTCATGGAACACACGCTCTTCTTCCGGCTTGCAGCAGTGGAGAAACTAGTTCGACAACTGTGACGATCGGACTACACTGCGCACGACATGGTTCTAAGCATTGGCACGATAATGCCGAAAGATCGAATTCCTTGAGAGACAAGAAAACATCAAATGATATGTTGCATGTGGAGCTATTTTCTCTTGCTTGCAGAGTGTTGGGCTTTTGGAGTTTAATACTCCCCTGTACTAAATCAGCGACGAGTAATATGAAACGGAGGGAGTATTAAACTTCAAAAGCCCATTTGTATTAAATTAGTGACGAGTAATATGGAACGGAGGGAGTAGTTTCAGGTAGTTGGATGATCCAGGACTACAGTGAGCTAGAAATGAGAGTATCTCCGTTTCGGAAAAACGAAATGAGAGTATTTAACTTTGCTCTACTTAAGATGTCTATGGGGCTCCCTGCCTTCCTCTTATAAAAAAAGGATGCAAGATTGCATGGCATGACACTTTTGAATGTGGTAACAACTTACACCAAGGTAGGCACAATCACTACCAATTCAAAGATCTTTCATGTCCAATCTCAGTTAGGTGCCATTCCAGGGCATTGCTGATTGCCATGTAAATGGCAAAATTCAGACCAACTTAATAAGTATGTCAAGTTGGTATTCATTCTGGCTTTGTATCCAGCGTGTGATATGGACAGGAAACTTGTGAACGTTACAGATTGGCATGGCATGCACAGATTCACAACTATAAGTGAACAATCCAAATCAAGTAAACAAAAAAAAACCCACAAAAAATTCCAAAAAAAAACGACCTCAACTTTATTCCTGTAATTGCAGGGGTGCAGTCGCAACAGTTAATAGGTCAACAACAATCATTGATCAAACCTCTGCTAAAGAAAATATCACTCTAAAGTTCAGCTCCTCCTGTAGCCTGGCTACAAACACATAGTGAAAGGAGAGAACAATCATAATCACATAACCATGGAATTTGAGCAAAGGATACAAATAGTTCGGGAGAAGGCAAGAGTTACCGACCCCTCTGGGATGCCACATTCTTGGAACACTAATACTGATTTCTATTCACTATAAAAAAATCCTTACGACCTTATGCATTTTTGTGAAAAAGAGAATTAACTTTCAGAGTTCCCCGCAAAAAAAAAATAACTATCAGAGTTTTAGACAGTAATAGAGACATTTCATCAAGCAATATGACCAAAGTTCTTTTTAGAAAACTACATATGCACTCCACACGTGCTTAAACTTCCAAGTTCCAAGTAATTCCTAGCCTTACCTCCAGTTATGCGCAGTCCAGACACGTTCTTTTAGCAGAAATGATGTGACGATGATGTTACGGTCTATTCTTCATTCTGCTCTTTTTAATTTACAAAACTGTCTCTATAATTACTGGCAACACTACCATAAAGAGAGCTTAGAATATTTCACATGTTTATGCTATAAATGATATCAAAGAGAATTCTGTTCAAGTGAGAGAATAATTCAAGAGGGTTTTTTCCTGCAAGGTTTAAGAACAACTGCAGTTGGATTGAGTATATTAATATGGAATTGAATGCAAGCAATGATTCAGCTACTAGGTTATAGACAACAGGGATCGTCTACCGGAGTCAAGTTTCTCTTATGTGATGCAAAATAGGTACCACAGAACAATCGAAGGGTATTGAAAATAAAAGGTATTTGCTGAACACCTTAACAGCATCACACAAATAAACTCAAGGAAAAGGGTGAAAAAGGCCAAGAGCTCTTACAAAGATGTGCTTCAGTAAAATATATGCTTGGAAAAAGAAAATACTATTTTGTGTCAGATTTTTTTAATGTGGAGGACTGTACATGATTTATAACATTTAATAAACGGCAGGACATTTTTTTCCTTTCTAATATCCATAGCTCTAGGTAGTGTGTGCTAACCATTGTTCTGGCAAATGCCGGGAGAGCCATGAGAAGTCAGATGTCACTTGATATAGTAGATCAAACAACCTACAAACTCTGTACTTCTTAATCAGGGCCAACCTAGTTCAAGGGGACAATCCAAATAACTGTAGTTATCATGTCTTGCAAGAAATATACAATGGGAGGCAGCACATATTAAGATCAAAAGCAATATATAATTACAAACATTACAACACTCTCACAGAACCTACAATTTTGAATATCAGTTTCAGCCCGAGAACCGTCCCAAAATAAGTGACTCAACTTTGTATTTTGGGACGGATGGAGTATTTTTCTGTATGAATAATGCAACAAAATTCCAATAACACAAACAATAAATGGTCCACATGTGAAATTCATTAGGAAAGCATGCGAGATAACAAATATTTCTCGCGCCCCTCATTATTGCTACAATTTCTTCAACATGAACATACTCTCATGGACCAAGAGGGCACAAAAACTACTAAGTCGAAAGCTCATCAATGAGTGCCACAAAAGCCAAGCCAACTAACGCTCCATCATACTGTATACCACGAAATAAAACATTAAGAAGAGATGTTTTAAGTAGTACCTACCTGATAATAAGGGGTACACTAACTAAATTGAGCCATGCGAGACATCTGGCCTACTCAATACAGGAATGTGCCAGCATGCTCTTCTCCAGCGGCACCAGCGCATCCGCCGGCAGGACAAGCCCGTCCGCCAGCTCCACCTCCATCGCCTCATCGGGCTCTTCCACCAAGACCAGCTTCTCCAAGGGCAGCCGAGACGGATCGTCAGTCCAAACATACGCCACAGAGAACACGCTGGAGGGGTCCGGCCCCTCTTCCGACGACGACGACAACGATGGTGGCTTCGATTTGCCGTCGGCCGACCCGGAGGGACCTGAGGCGCGCGTCAAGCTCGCCGCCGCTTCACGTACTCTAGGGGTTCGCGGGACGGCGAGGAGAGGCGGAGGCGGCACACCGGCCGCCGCGGAGATGCGTCTGGCCACTGCCGGGCGGCTGTGGACCTGGCCACAGTGGTCGCGCCTTGGTCACCGCGGCCTGCAGCGGGCGCCGCGGCAAGGTCGGCTGATCATGAGGTTGCTTCGCCGGCGAGGCCTGGCTCAGGTGCAGCGGCGCCGTCGGAGGCTAACGGCGCCGAGGTGGAGGTGGCTCCCCCTGACCGGCTGGCCCCGCTAACGGTGGATGACGGTAGGGCCATGGGGGCCACGGTGATGGAGGTGGTGGCTGCCCTACAGGACATGGCTGCGGCCTTGGATGCTGGGTCGTTGGGGCCGGCGCAGGCCCCGAGGTGCGATGACGATGGCGGGCGCATAGGCGTGGAGGGGCCCGCGGATCAGGTCAGGATAAGCCAGCCACTTTTGACTAGGATGGATGAGGAGCAGCTGAACTGCGGGACAACTGTTTGCGACTCGGCCGGTGGCTTCTCGACACCTGTCCCCGGCAGGGACAGGGAGGATCTGGAAGAATCGCCATGGTAGTTCGAGAGTGGCCAGGAGCGGTGGCTTCTTTCGCCTGGGGGGTCGGCGGAGAGTGCCGGGTTCCGACTTTCAAATCGTGCTCTCTCGGTCTCCAGCGCTAGCTGGGACGGCCCTGGATTGGCCCGCGAGCCTGGCGGACAGGTGGGGGCGCTGGACACCTTTGTCGTCAGCCTCTCGAGATCGGTGGGCAACAGTGCGCACTCCACGACACGTTCGATCAACTGCCCTCTGTCAAGGTTCAGGAAGAAGTACGTGAAGAAGGTGACGCTGGTCCTGCCTAGGCCTCGGTCCACAAGGCAGATGAGGAAGCGCAGGACCCCGCCATCTATGGTTCGGCGTAGCCTGCGGATCAACGGGAGGCTGACTGGTGGTGCATCGGTGAAGTCTCAACAGCGCACGCTCATGATGCAGCTTGAATCGTGCGCGAAGGCGAGGTTATCGGTGACGAGGCCATGCAAGCGTACATGGAGCTTTTCTCAAAGCCGCTCCAACAGGCTCACATTGCGGTCATCGTCGGGCTTTTCGGTTGGCAGGCAGACGTGCTACCGCTTGGTAGAGACGCGGACGGGGTAGCACTTTAGATGCTGCTCGGCTGGTGGACGCCCGTAGGTCTTTATTATGGCAGACCGAACCATACGGTGGTTGTGTGGAACGTGCGCGGTTTAAACAATCCCGCCAGACGTAATTCTATCAATAATGCTATTTTTGGCTCGGGCGCGAGTGTGGTCTGTCTCCAGGAGATGAAGATACAAAACATGGACCCGCAGCTTGTGCGGCACTGCCTAGGGCCGGAATTCGACCAGTTCTTTTGTGCGCCGGCCCTTGGCACCCATGGCGGTATTATTCTAGCATGCAAGTCTATATACGCACAGCTGTCCAATCCTCACATCACGGCAAACACGGTGACAGCGTGGGTGCAATTCCACGGCTCGGTGGGATGGTGGTTCACAGGGGTATACGGCCCATAGGAGGATGGGGATAAGGTGGCTTTCATGCAGGAGCTCCGCGACATTCGAGATTTACATGCAGGTCCCTGGTTGGTCGCTGGTGATTTCAACTTGATCGTGGACTTGTTTGATAAAAGCAACGATCGGTGCAATAGACGGATGATGGGACGGTTTAGAAGGTGCATATCAGATCTCGACTTGCACGAGCTCTACCTCAATGGAAGGAGGTATACTTGGTCAAACGAGAGGGAGGAGGCAACGCTCACGAAGCTAGATCGAGTCCTCGTTTCCGTGGATTGGGAGGCACTGTACCCTGCCTCGTTCCTGTCTGCACTCAGCACGAACGTGTCAGATCATTGCCCTTTGCACCTCGTTCTGGAAGCTAAACTGATGCGGGGCAGAAGGTTTCACTTCGAGTCTTCCTGGACTAAGGTGGATGGGTTCCATGAGGTGGTTCAGGCAGCTTGGAGTAGTCAGTCGGGGATCCGGAACCCGTTCAAAAGGCTGGCGGCTAAGCTCAGGGCCACGACAAAGCATCTCGCCAGGTGGAGCAGTAAATATGTGGGTAACGTCAAGCAACAGATTAGCATCGCAAACGAGGTTGTTTTGCGCTTGGATATTGCCATGGAGGGGAGGGCCCTGTCTCCGGCGGAGATGGATCTCAGGAGACTACTCAAGCGCAAGCTGCTTGGGCTAGCCTCGCTGGAGCGTACGATTGCCAGGCAGCGTGCCAGGCTTCTTCGCCTCAGAGAGGGAGACGTGTGAACCAAGTTCTTTCACGCTCACGCCAGTCATAGGCGCCGGAAAAACTATATCTCCAAGCTCAAGGTGGAGGGCGCGATCTCGACTAACCACGAGATCATGGCGGGTGCTATAGACTCCTTCTTTGCCCAGCTGCTTGGGGAATCCACCGACCGTGAGTACACGCTGGATCTCGAGGCAATAGGGGTTCCTCGCAAGGATCTCGCCAACCTTGACTGTGATTTTACTGAGGAGGAGGTGCTGGCGGCAGTACGCGTGCAAGGGCTGGACAAGGCGCCGGGGCCCGACGGGTTCCCGGCCAGATTTTACGTGACTTGCTGGTCGATCATCAGAGAGGATGTGATGGAGGCATTTGCTTCGCTTCAAAGATTGGACTTCCGTGGGCTTACCTCCATCAATCATGCGTTCATCACATTGCTTCCCAAGCACCCCGCCGCCTTGGAGGTTCGTGAGTTTCGGCTGATCAGCTTGATCCATAGTTTCCCTAAGCTGGCGGCCAAGGTGTTGGCGACGCGGCTCGCCAATGAGATGCCGGGTCTGGTAGGACCTCACCAAAGCGCTTTCATCAGAGGACGTTGGTTGCACGACAACTTTATGTTGGTGCAAGGGATGGCCAGGAAATTGCATGCGTCTAAGAAAGAAGTGGTGATGCTCAAGCTCGACATTACCAAGGCCTTCGACACGGTGGACTGGGCTTTCCTGTTGGATGTGCTGCGACACGTGGGCTTCGGGGCCAAGTGGATCTCGTGGATAGCTGGCCTGCTCGCCTCCTCATCTACTAGGGTTTTGCTGAATGGCGTACCCGGGGAGGTCATCTTCAATCGACAGGGCCTGCGGCAAGGTGACCCAGTTTCGCCGCTCTTATTTGTCCTTGTCATGGAGGTTCTTCACCATCTGCTAGGCTCGGCCACGAGGGAAGGTGTGCTGCAGCCCCTGGCGGCCGCAGGTTTCCGGCAACACACCTCCATATACGCCAATGACGTGGTCACATTCATCAAACTGGACCTGCTAAGCCTTAGGGCTTGCTCGATGCTGCTACATGATTTCGGGTCGGCGTCTGGATTGCTTACGAATCTGGTCAAAAGCTTGGCCCGTCCCATTAGATGCTCAGAGGAGCAAGTTCAGCTGATTGCCGCCGAGTTGGAGTGTCAGGTCATGGACTGGCCCTGCAGATATCTCGGGCTGTCGATTTCCTTGCATAAGGTCTCGGCGGCGCAGCTGCAGTACATGATAGACAGGATGGCCGACCATTTGCCCGCTTGGCAGGCCAGGCTTCTCTTCCGCGCAGGCAGATTGGAGTTGTTGCGCTCTACATTGGCCTCCATGCCAATGCATGCTATGATGGCGATTGACTTGCCGGTAAAGATGATTACCGCGGCCAACAAGATCTGTCGTGGATTCCTATGGAAGGGGCGTCGGGATGTGAATGGTGGACATTGTTTGGTGGCCTGGGACAGAGTTTGCGCTCCTAAGGACCTCGGAGGCCTCGGGGTGCCCAACTTGAGGTTGATGAATACTGCTTTGCGCGCCAGATGGCCGTGGCTCCAACGAACCGATCCCCTTAGACCCTGGGCCGAGTTTAACATGCAGGTTTCGCATGAGTCTTTGGGTTTATACAAGGCTGCCACGAGATGCACTATTGGGGATGGCGAGTCGGTGCGCTTCTGGACAGATTGGTGGCTGTGGGATGGTAGACTTGAGGACCTGACGCCCAACCTCTACGCCTTGATGAGGCGTTCTGGCCGGCTGAAAACTGTTCGGCAGGCTCTGACTGAGGGCTGGTGGCTCGACATCTCGCCGGACATGTGTGCAGACGCGCTGCGGGAGTTCATGGTGCTTGTGGACAAGACGCAAGATGTGGTTCTCACGCACGGCTCGGAGGACAGGATCTACTAGGCTCGGGAGAGCTCGGGGCAGTTTTCGGTTAAGTCGGCTTACAGGGCTTTCTTCGCCGGCAGGATTGAGGCGGATGGTGCCACCCAGATTTGGAAATCGAGAGCTCCTAATTCTTGCAAGTTCTTCGTCTGGCTAGCTGCAAGAAATAGGTGCTGGACGGCGGATAGATTGGAACGAAGGTTGCTCCCTCACCCCTCGGCATGCCCCTTCTGTGATCAGGCGCAGGAATCAATCGATCACTTGCTGCTTGGCTGCGTGTTGGCTCGTCA